TGCTGAGTGAAAAACCACGAATAGTCTTTGAACGTGTTCTGCCAAGTCTCTTTACAGTACAATACTGGCAGGAGTGAAACACTGGGGCCAGGCAAATATGCAAGCTTCATCACATTAAAGGAAGCAGAGCAGCACGGTTATTGCATCATTCTATGGCTTCCCAGACGTTGTTGTTATTTTTTCATTAGAGCAACAGAACTGCACTTGGTGCTTTTTGCTGAAGAGCCAAGGAGGCCCCAAAAGGCTGTCGACTGGAGAAGAGAATGCGGCAACTGGAAAGATGAGTGGTTTACTGCACTAATTTTATAGCACAGCCTTTACCAGTCTGTGGTAGAGGGAACCGGCAACATGATCTGTGTTCACTTTTTTTTTTCTTACAAAAAAAGACACATAGCCAAGTACTTAAAACTATTTGCTTGTTCAAGACAAGTTATTTGAAAGTTTAAGTACTACTGAATCAACCAACATTTTTCAACACTAAATCATTTCAATTCCATATCATATGTTTTTAATTTTATCAGCATCTGTAACTTTTTAATTACCATTTTTATTAAAGATTTTTTTTTTTTTTTTTTTTTTTTTTTTTTTTTTTTTTTCCCCAGAAGCAGTACACAAATCCCTAGTTATTTAATCTGGGCATTAGAACATGCAGTTCAAGGCTTGGCCATTGAAGCAAAACTCTGCTGCCAGATGCGCCCACCAGACCACAGGTGCTCCGAGTTGCTCTCCGGTGACTGCCAAGCTCCTTGGAGAAGCAAGGGGTGTCACAGCATGGCTGGACAAAATTTACCACCACAATTTTAATGAACAGTTTGGCCCCCTGGAAACTTCTAGGCAGATTCCCACCTAACGAAGAGGGAAGAAGCTTTAAAGGCACTGGCGCAATGGGGAGTTGCCTGGAAATTTATGTTTCATGACCTAATGTTTCATGGTTCAGCATTGGGATAATGTCATTCTTCTGGCCCTCATCCAATATACACTCAAAGTGACAATATGCTGAGGGTTTGACTGGCCAACTACTATCTGGTCACCACATCAGCATTCCCAACTGTTGGATGAAAACACATGAAATTAGTGGAGATGGTTTTGTGCTGCTGGAGAGATGTAAAAGTGATACGGTTAGGCCACATTATATAATTTGGTAACGCAAGCCAAATCTACCCTGTGTGGGTTTACGGACATTTCATTTGTATTCGAAGCAAAATTGATTGCAGTTGTCATAAAAGAAAGATCAAACAGCTGAAGGGTACTGTGCTCCCTGTAGACTAGGTTAAATCATGTAACTCGCCAATGACAACAACTGGAAAAGAGAGCAGACCTTGCCAACTGGAAGGTGCCTGGCAGATAGCACAGAAACAACTTGAGAGAACAAACACAAGCCGTGGTAATGCTGTCCGTGGAAATCCTTCTCAGCAAGCAACAAGTACTACTGAACTGATAACCAGGCAGTAGGATGGGAAGCACACATTACAGTGTAAAATTGCACTCAAGGAAAAGATTCATGAAAATGGATGACTCTTGGCTGGCTTCAATGCCCGAAGCAGCAAAATGTTGAGCACTGAGGAACATCTCTGTTTAAGCAGAGGAGGGAACAATAATTGGTAAAATTATTTCCTTCAGAAACTGTGTAATGTAACTTCCCATGGCAGGGCTGCAGCTGCAGACACTTTGGTCCTGGCATGTTTCAGGTCACCAAAGCATGGATCAGGTTGTCTGAATTTAGCAGTGGCTAAGATACAGCATTGCTTCCTTCTGTTGTTCTGGATCCCAAGCAGTGTGTGGCAAAGTTTAAGTGGCTAAAGAAGAGGCAAACCACAATTTACAGTTGGGGAGCCGGCAGCTTCTGCCTCTGGAAATAAGCTCTGCACGGAAACTTGAACACCACAGCTAAAGAAACACATCGCGTGTTTCCATTGTAGTCATTCTGCTGTCATGTGTAAAACAAAGATTACTTTCATAGAGATGTTTAAGGATCATCCATTTAATTTATTAAGAGATGAAATTCTTCGACTAACATATTATCTAGTTTGGCCTCCTGGGTCGATTCCCACCTGATCCCCCTGTCAGCAGCTCATTTGACTTGTTTTAGGAGATGTGGAATGAAGGAGATAGCACAATTTCACACAAAGTGATTGGCGAGCCTAAGGCAAGTCAGTGATTCACATCTCAGGACAGCTTCATGAATCTCACACTCATTTATTTGCCAAAGAAAGGTTTTGGTGATGGAGCAGAATAACAAAGCCCCTAACATATCGCAGATCCAGTGCACCCAGGCCGTGAAGTTTGTGTTTCCCCAACAACGTGGAGACAGTATGGTGTGTCAGAACACATGCACTTGCCATTAGCATGAACGTTACGAGGAAATGAGCATAAATCCCAGAGTTAAATGTGTAGTTTGAACATCCTGGGACAATTAAATTATTGATAATGGTTATCTGTCACCAAGCAATAAATCATGAACTCATGGAGTGGTAAAAGAAAAGCTATCTTGCTGCTGACAGATGCACAGACTGAAAGATTTGGTGGGCCTTTAAGGTTCCAGAAGTAATTACATAAAGGTGAAAGATTTCTTCTCTTGCCTTTTTTTTTTCTTTTTTTTTTTTTTTTCCTCACCGACTATACTATTTCCATACTGAAAACAACACTTTCCTGACAACTTTTCTTACTTGGCCTCTACATTTTGTGAAATTTTAATGAGCATGAAGAGCAAAGCTTTAAGTGAGCAGCTGGTGAAGAGCAGGCCTGCCTTTATTGCTGTGAGCTGGGGCATTGTGCCCTGCACAAATGGAGGAGCTGGTGCCCGAAATTTTGAAAGGTGACGGATACTCTCTGCTGATGGTAACATGGAGATGATGCTGATGGTAACTGCAGGTATACTGTGGAAAAAAAGCTATTATAAGACTGCAACAATACAGAAATAAAACAAGGAGAGAGCAGGCGACAGCAAAGGAAGGACACAGAGACTGGCCGCCTTTTTGTCACTGCACTTCTGCAGCTGAAATAAGACTCTGTATTGCACTGAAAACAGTATCGAGCTCCAGCACTCCGCACAAACCTATTTCCTAAGAGGCTACAGGTTTACGTGGGCAAGCAGTAGCTGGTGGAAAGGGAAAGGGACAGAGGCATTTCCCTGTCAGGCACAGGAGCAGTGGAGCGCGAGCTCGCCGCTGCCCGGTTATAAATGGTGGGAATGCCGGGCCCGGGCGGCCGCGGCTGCTGGAGCTGATGCCAAGGCTTGAATGGGGCGGCGGGCGCTGCCAGGAGGGGGATGTGAGCAGGAACCAGGACCAGCTTTGTGAGCAGCCTTTTCAGGAGGCTGCGGTGTTGTGAAACTTAACACAGCTCTGCGGAGAAAGTGGAAGCTTGTCAAATGGACACGCTGTACTGCTCCCTTTAGGGGAGCCAGAAACCAGGTTCATTTATTCATTTTCCAACAGCTAAATCTTCTTGTATTAATTATGTGGAATCCAGGAATTTTGGCCAAAGAAAGATGTACTTTTTAATACTGATCCTTTGACTGTGTGGTGATCTGTATCAATTTCAAAACTTCTTCTCCTTGCATAGAACTTTAAAACTTCAGGCATGGCACAGGAAAAGAAAATAGCACAAATAATTTGGCTTAAGTCTGGGATTAACTGTCTGAGACCTTAAAATAAAGACTTCAGATGAACTGCTCAGAGGCATACGGGCTACCAGCGTGAGTGTGAGTGTCAAGCTGAGGCCATTTAATTGTCAGGAACATGACATTTATTGCCCTGACGCCTGTATCATAAAATTAAGTTTACTTTAGAACTTATTCCATATGAAATCCATGTTAAACAGTCAAGAGTGCCTTGAGAGGTCATGTTAAGGACAACAATTATTGTCAGGGAGTTTTTTTCCCCTACTTCAGTAAAAAGAATAACACACCAGTTTATGTACTTTTGTAAGCAAGACAGCAACAAGCTGTTTGTATCTACAGCTTCTCTCGCAGGAACAAATGAATAAATTAATAATACCAAGCCTCTCCTCTTCCAAAGTAGTCAATTACTATTTAAAAGTATTTTTGCATATGCAACGTAGCATACACTACTACAGCAGTGACATCAGTGTGATAATATGGATGTATTGATTTAAAATAACTTATCATGTCTGTGGGGCTGAGCTGGCAAATAACTAAAATATTATTAGCTTGGTCATGGGTTGCTGACAAAACTTGTGACAACCCCATGACTACGTTGGTGTTTGCACTTACCAAAAAATACTAATTGGATTCATATTTTCATCTCCAGACTGTCAGCACCTGCCCATAGTTTATTTCCTTAAAGACACTCTTTACACCTTCCCTAAGGAACCAATGTAATCTTCTTTCTCAGGACTATATTAGGCTTCTAAAATGAAATTTTAAATGAGCCTTTGTGTCTGCTTTAGAGAAAACACAAATGAAAGTTGGATTTGCATGATGCTTTCATTCGAAACTTCTGCTAAAAGTAAAATTAGTTGCTTTTAGTAGCCTTGCCAGTTAGAGGAACAATAATTGAATTAAAAACTGCTTCCAAAACAAGAAAATAGTTAATTACTAAGGGAAGTAAAAAAAATCATTCAGAAGCAAGTACTTGACAAGCACAAGTTATGTGAACATTTGCTGTAGTTTTTTTGTTTTCCAGTTTTGTCAGATGTCTGTGTTTGTAATTAAGACATTACTGCTCTCAAAGAAAATGTTAGTATTATTTGTTGAGTATGGTATGTAGAGAGGGTCTCCTTGCTATAATGTCAACAACTGATTATATGATTATTGAAATTAGCTCTACTCAGTTTAGAAATTAAAAAAAGAAAAAAGAAAACAGATAATGTTTGAACATAAATGTAATACTCTACTTTTATTTATAACTGGTAAATTTTAATTTGATTTAAACACATATGCTAATTAAAACACATTTCACCAGCTACTTATAGACTTAAGCCCTATTTTGTTTCATGTTGGTAGAAACAGGAAATTTGGAGTGATGTCTACTGCTACAGCTGTTTGCAGTACACCAGATGTGAGATTGATGTATCTGTATTTTGCCCTCTCCTGTGAGTTGCAAGTGATCAAACAGGCAAAAACATAATGACAGGATGATTAGACAAATTTAGCACAAAGGAATTATTCGAGACATTCATAAATTACCACCCAACGCCACACATGGTGATGGAAAATGTATTTATTGCAACGTCACAGGTACACAAAACCATTTATATCCACAACTAGTTTCAAATACAGTCTTACTAATTGTAGAAATCACCTTAGTCATATCTTATCTGGTAGTCTTTTAAAAGATGCAATACTAAAAGATCCAGAAAACTAGGTGTGAGCATTTTCTAAACCCCAGGTGTGACAAACCGTCAATATGAAAACAAATACCATTTTCCACAGATGAATTTTTGTTATTAAATTATTCTAATTTAAATGAGCTGTTCTATGACATGTGCTAGAAGAAGCAATCGTGCATTCAGATGTAGCTGGATTTCAGAACGAGGGTGTTGGTAAAAGCTGTTGAGGCATCAGCCATACTTCGCTTTTTCTGTTGCTAGAGCCAATCTGCGAATGTTTGCTATGCAACCAGCTGCTGCCTCCTGCAGAGTTTCATCTGTAGAGCCCACCATAGTCAGTAGGAGCTACAAAAATAATATTAAAAAACAGCATAAGAAATACAAAAAGTATGTGATTATTTAAATAGTATTCAAGTAATATCTTGATCATTAGGATGCATTTACTCACATACATATAAGGAATAAAATATTGAAAATTATATTAACAAAAATCATTGTATTATGTGTCCACATATACACTTATTTTTGTATAGTTTTGTATACCTATATGTATTAATATACACATAGAGCACAACACTTTATATCTTATCACATTTGTACCTGCAATATGATATTTCATGTCCAATTTCCTATTTATTTTATCACATCTGCCTATTGGATCTGACTTGGATTTTTTTCTTGAAAGTAGAAATTGTGTACATGTTAATCGAAATCATGGTTTCTCCTGAGGGCATGCTAGTATGTTTGTACCTGCTCAACATTTTTAATAAACAAAACCATGCACTTTTTTTTTTTTTGCTTTTTTTTTGGCTTTGATCATAAAACTGGATCCATGTGAAGGGATGAAGGGACCCCCGTGTCCCATTGACTGTAGTAGGTTTCTTTATTGTCACAGGAAAGCACTCACTTTAAACTGCTTGAGGGATACAGATCTGGGCATGCCATTCTTATATATTTGCATGTAAAAGTGAAAAAACAAAAGCTCAACAAAGGCACCAAACGTTTGGAGCAGATTCAGCTCTTCAGTCATGTGGAGTAGATTCTTTACTCTGGAAGTCATTCAATTTTTTCAATGGAAATTCCCTTGGAGTAAGGTACTGTTCAACACAAGCGTGACATAGCACAGGCCTTGATGATAAAACATTTTTACATATCAGAAAATCATCAATAATGGTTTTGGATCTCTTTTCCTTAGTGTGTTGCAAGTCAGTGATGCAACTGCAACTGCAATATATGTTGGAAAACAGAAGAGTCTTGCCTAGCTTAAATCAGCTCCACACAATCCTCACATTTCTGAAAATCTGCCAAGCTTAATGTGCGTCCAGGTATTTCGAAGCTCAGACAGCTCTAATTAAAACCTATATTTTCAGTCTGCAATACTTAGGATTCTGTGTTCACCCAAACAATGTTGAGTCAAACCACAAAGAAATCTGTTATCACTCAACTCCAGAGCATATTTTTCATACAGCTAAAATATTACATAAAATTATGAACTGCTAAATATAAAAGTATAAATTGAATGCAGACATCAAATTCATATGCTACCTTTTTCTAACCTTCCAGCAATCATGAGGCATGGGCCACAGCTGCACACATATGGCATTTGCTTATAGAGATCAAAGCATTTTATACTTGAGGAAGTATTTGTGTTAGCCAAATGTACAAAACAAGCATCTTGCCAGTCACCTTTCACCCTTTGACCCTTATATGTAACTTGTAAGAGTGCCTGTAATATGCCTGAATTAAGTCAAAAAGAGTATTATGTAAATGAAGCATCAAATTTTTTTTTTCCAGCAATTCTTCTTCCTATAATTTCCATTAGTGTAATAAACTGTCTATGTCCAAATAGTTAAATAAGAGCTCTCAAGTTGTGAACACTTCTGAAGGGCTATACCGGAGGTGTATGTATCCAGTGACAGTATAGAAGAAAAGAAGACAATTAAAGAGAAAGGTTTATATTCTTGTGCTTTATTTGCAGGCAAATTCTGGCCAGGTTCAGCAGCCAGTGAAATTGGAGGAGGTTTCACCACTGACTTCGGCTGGTGGCACGACAAAGCAGGATGGCTCTGTGCAGTGATCAAGCTGCCCTACAAAGCACGAAGGCCAGAATGCAAGTCTTATCAGACACCTGCCTTAAAAGAAATCCCCCTGAATGAAGTTCTTTCTTCCTTGCTAATTTCCACCAGCTGATTTCTCATTAACTTAAAATGCTTCTTTGGGTGCCTTACAACATTGTTGTATAACTTACAGAGGGAAACTGGTATAGATCCTTCATGTCCCTGACTCAAAACCAAAAATATGTATGCACATACCGTTCGTACGGTGGTTTTGGTAATGCCATAAGTTTCAAATTTGGGAGCAAGGAAACTATATGCCATATGTGATTATTCACTGCGTCTTCACAAACCCAGTGCAAGGTTTTTTCAGTGTATAGTGTGCAACTCAAACTTCCATAATAAATTCAACATGAGATTTTTTTATCAGTTCTTGAGAGTAGACATCCATCATGAAATTAATATTTTTTGGAGATATATTGTTTAATGGAAATATAGCAAAAAGTAAAAATAAGCCTTTGCCTTTGTTATGACTCCATGCTAGGTAGTCTTCAATACAAGGTTATTTATTTCTTCTTTTAGCCACCACTTCTGGGCTCAGAAAACTTAGGAAAATAAATACTTTTTTTTTTTTTTTTTTTTTTTTTGTCATTTTCCATGGTGAGCTCAATATCAAGCAATGACAATGGCAGTGGTGGGGGCTGGAGGGGGAGGGTTGTCTCTGATTTTTATTGCTGCTGCATGTTGGAGAATCAGAATTTGGTATCAAAGAACACATTACAGGACATGGATTCAAGGTACCTTTGCAGATGCCTAAAGAATTAGTGGTATGCAACAACACAAACAGCAATTTTTATAAAAATATTAAGACTGATTTTTTCCTTCTGAGTTTGGGGGATCAAGGATCAGTTGTTCTCTAATTTCTCATTCTTCTCAATCACTTGTCAGTTGCAACATCGACAAGAACTGCCACATTATACAAAATCCTGTACTACAGCACCTCAGGATTTTCAGAATATAACTTCAAAGAAATATTCCTGGAAACACAGTCTTATACAGTTGCTGTCTCTGGGGACTGAAGATATACAGCACTATTTTCCAGTCAACTTATTCCATGTGTTAACAAGAGGGCAATTGCAAATGTTATTAAAAATGTAAAATATTTCAGTGTAAGTAGGTGATTATAAATTTAGGAATCTAACTTCAAAGATTTGGATATAAATGCTATCTTAAATGAAATAAAATGTTATTCTTTTCTTATACACCAGCAAAGTTACAATTCTCTTGCTTTCTAACTGCCACTTCTTGCCCTTTTGTGGGTTCGGTTCAATTGACTGGCAATTTGGGTCACCAGTCCAAAATTCAGCTATGGAAATATATGCATAGATAGTATCCACAGATCGTATCCACATATTGCATGTATTTGGCAAGTCCAAGAGAGCTTTTTTTTTTTTTAATTATTATTCCAATGCACAAGTGCAACATTACATGTCCTTCTTCTTGATGCAGTGTCCTTGAACTTCATGTATCCCTTCCCCTCACTGTTCAGGTATTGTTTTCTGACACATGTAAATGTTAACAGATGTGAGAAACAGTAAAAAGCATGTGGTATAAATGCTTCTTTCTGGCACATAAGAGGCACTTTCCATAGACAGAGAAAGCATTTGCAGTACTATGTAGACTTCATTTTCAGTTGGCAGGTATCTATATTCTAAGGCAACGGTCCAAAATTTTTTGCACAGTTAGCACGTCATACCAGCAAATAAGCACAAATACAAGCTGTTTGGAGAACGTACAGAGCATATGTAGCATTTACGGGTTCCAAAAGCAGGAGTAATGCACAGCCAAATCATTTAAATATTCAGAACAATTAAGAAGATTTTGCTGTTACTATCCCAGCTTTAAAATACAACTGTGCGGCTCCATTAGTGTAGCACAATCACAGAGTAACTCTGAATGGAAGCGGTCTCAGAAGTCTCTCATCCAAGGCTGTGCTCAAAGCAGGGTCAGCCCTGAGATTTATACCAGATTGTTCAGGGTTTTATTCAGCTTGATCTTGAAAATCTCTGGGGTCACAGACTGCACAGCCTCTTTAGGCAACCTGTTGCAGGGTTTGTCCCCAGAGATACAAGGCTTTCCCTATATTCAGTCTCTCTTCTTTCGGTTTATGCCTGTTGCCTCTCATTCCCCAGCCATGTATCACTGTGAAAAGCTTTGCCACATCTTTTTGATGACTGACCTCCTTGTAAGTACTGGAAGACTGCTATTAAGTCCATCTGAAGCTCTCTCTTCTCCATGCTGAAATAAACACTTCCCTCAGTTTGTCCTCACAGGGCAAGTGCACCAGCTCTTCACCATCCTGGTGGCACTGTGACAAACTAGCTCTGGTTTATCCATGTTTTTCCTATACAGGAAGACCCATAGCTGTGTGCCATATTCCAGGTGAGGTGTAGTGGGAAGAATCACTTCCCTCAACCTTCTGACTGTGCTCCTGGTAGTAGAGCCCAGTACCGTGCCTTCTTTCTTGTCAGGACACACTGCTAGCTAAGGCTGTCTTCTGAAACCTCCATACCCTTTTCAATAAAACTCCCCCACTACCAGTCAGTCTTTAGCCAACATCACTGCAAGGGCAAGTGCAAAGGCAAGTATGAGTCCTTCTCAGGCACAGTAAAATATTCCATAAGTATTCAATTTGCTACTTTCCTTTAGACACAGTAATTGACAGCCTCCAGCCTCGCAGGTGGGGGAAGCAGGAAATATAGGAAGTGATATTTTCAGAAAGAATAGTTTGCATGTATTCTTCTTCAAATAAGGGGTTAGTCACTTGATGTTTCTATGAGTTTTCCAAAGCAGTGGACAGTGTAGAACAACACTGCTGGACAGAGGTTCCCATGCTCATACAAAGCAGATACAGATCAGCCTAAGCTATACTCTGGAGTCTTGTGAACATGAAAGCAAATGATAAAGAAAGAAAAACTATTAAAATTATTTTAATACCTTTTTTTTTCCTATTTTTTGTTTGTTCATTTGTTTGCTTGTTTATGTGTTTCTGCCCTGTAAAACAGATTTTATTAGATTTTTTTTTATTTTTTTTTCTGATCAGAAGGAAATATGGGCTAACTCCTTCAATAAGATTCATATCTATACTGGGAAGCAAGTCAGAGTTCACATAGAGCTCAAAATTCCTGGAACTAAAGACATTTACTTCAACACAACTGCTGCTTCTATCTGCTGTGCTGGTGATGACATCTTGTAGATTGACATAACATTTCCAGTTGGTGGTAGGACTTG